CATATGTCTCTTAGGCTGGTTGCCACATGAATCCAACAGCATTCAGCTAACAGGGGAGAATGCCCTCCTGCCCAACACCCTTACTAGTTCATTTCCAAACGAAACTAAAAGAAATACAGTAATGCATATATAATATAGGGTCACCTCTAATAATGTCAGCCTGCCGGTATAATGGATTTCTGCCCAAGCAAATGGAACTTCCCCTTCCTCTCTTCTGCCATGAGGCCCCCATCCCCACCCAAATCATCTTCAAGCTTCTTCATCTCCAAAATGCTTTCATATAAACGTAATGTCTTTCACCATGTAACTGTGGAAGTTCATGTATCAAATAAACATGTTGAACTTGGGAAGCTTTCCCTCTTTTAATTTCAACTTTTGCAAAAGTTACATCTGATTGTACATAAAAAATAGTGGAGATGCTAAAGCTGGTTAAATATGAAATTTAGTAATCTACTGTGTCAGTACGCAAGCACAATTAAATGCCAGCAACTCCCACTTCTATCACAGAATGCCTGCTTCTTAAGCAATGGATTGGATCATGCCTACAATTTATATTATCCAATTTCAATTATTCAAACTTTTAAAGCAAATAATTGTCCTTCAGCCAAGGTGGGGGAAAATATATTAACTTGTTCAATTTAGGATTTTATTTTGAAGGATACATCTCTCTCTATACACGTCCACACTTGATGGAACAGATAAGTACTCCACACTTGGGTTTGTTTATCTAACTACACGAGAACTTAATATATGTTATTTAATAAGCATGGAGTAGGTCAAGTCAAGTGGGTTCAGGGACAAATGGGCTGCTGAGCTGTAAGAAGACCCTTGCTAATTCAGGCCAAAGGTCCATCTAATCCAGCGTTCTTTTATCACAATGACCAACCAGACACACACCTCATTTGTGATTGCCAGCAACTAGTATTCAGGAGCATTCCGCCTCTGACAGGGGAAGAAGAGGGAAAGAAGTACCTTCTGCAGCTGCCACTGCAGCTCTCATCATTGTCTCTGAATTGTGTCCACTAAACTATGCTGCAACCAACTTTTTAAACACAAAGTTCATGAATATACACAAAATTGTATTATCCCAAATAGTGCACATTATTGGTTTCTACACCCATTATTTAGGGACCCAGAACAATTCTTATGCAAGCCTTTTTTTTACCCTACACTGTAGTTCATAAAATATTTTCTGGTTTTAGCCTATAATTATGTACATAACCTTTTATAAACTTTACCACTTACTAGCTTCAGTCCTGCATATGATGATAAAAATACTACCCTAGTCCATATTGCATAGTAAACAGCTTTTGTATTAAGATTTCTCAGACAGTTTTGGAAAATGGAAATAATGATTGAAGGTTCTCTTTGCCCTTGAGAGTACTAGAGCTGCCTTTCCAACTGAACCATGAAAGTACTTTGGCTGGGCTACCTCAGTTATTTGTCACATTTTGTACTACTGTACATATTTTCAAAGGCCAAGCAGAATGTTTGTGCTATAAATGCTGAAGAAAAGAACAAAAACTTGTATTGTACACTGCCGTTTTATTAAACTGAATCTTTAATTTAATGTATGTTACTGGTCTAAAACTTTGTTTTGCCTTCCATGGAGGTTTGCCCCCTGTTCCTTATTAAATAGCGAAGTATTCCTTGAAATAAGGAACCCGAGGCAAGCCCAAGCATTGTTTGCAAACTCCCAAGAAAAAAAATCTCAAAACAGAATTGTTCTATTTTACTATTACATTGTACAGACCATAGATGATGATTAATAATTGTATCTATTAAGCCTACAATATTTTTGTTATTAATAGTAATAATAGTAATAATAATAATAATAATAATAATAATAATAATAATTGCTGCCACCCACAAATACTAAGCTGCATTTATCTGATCTTAAAAAGGTGCAGGACAGACAGTGGGCAAAGGACGGAAGCTGAAGCCCACAAAATGGCAGGCAAAGTTCTGAAAAGGCTAGCAGAAGTCAAGAGCAGTCCGGAGTGATAACAGACAGACAAAGAAGCCAGAAGGAAGAATATAACATAGTAATTTGAAATAACTATTCAAAACATTGGCTGCAGGTGTCATTGACAGACTATACCTATTTTGCTTTTGAGCATGATATAAGAATATAAGAAAACCTTGATGGATCAGGACAAAGGGCCACCTAGTCCAGCACAATATTCTCATAGTGGCCACCCAAACACCTATGAGAAGCATGCAAACAGAACATGGGCACAACCCACAATTCCCAGAAACTGGTGTTCAGAGCCATACTGCTTCTGACAGTGGAGGTACAACATACTGTCACAGTGCTGTCAGGTAAAGGAATGGACATCCTGAGTAAACAGCTAACACTTTATTGTCAAAAGTACACTTACAAGTTAGCAAAAGGCATGTCTATCAGGCCTACGTGTCTCAGCTACTTCCAGGTGTGCACCCAATGAGGGAGTTGCTGAACAAAGAGGCCCTGCCCTCAACCTCCATTTATGTCGTTCTCGCCCCCCCAGCTGCGTGCAAGCAGACAATGACTCCACCTGCATGTAACCTTTTGCTCTTCCTGCTTCAATCCTCTTCTGGTCCTGGGAGACAGTGGAACAGGAGGTGGGGGCAGAAGGAGGAGGTGTGGAAGCCCTTTACACCAGCCTGACCTATTTCTCTCTCCTCCTGCACCTGTTCTTCACTCTCCAATCCCGCAGCTTCTCCTGCCTCTTATCTCCTCGCTGTTACAGGCTCCCCCAGATCACTGATTGCTTCCTCCAAGTCAGTCTCCAACCCCCCTTCTTCCGGTGCCCACTCACCCAAATCCAGCCACCACTCCTCAGTTTCTAGTCAGTCCCTGGCACATACCCATCATGGCAATAGCCTTATCTTTCATAAATTAATCTAATCTTCCCAAGCCACCTAAGTTGGTAGCCACATCTTGTGGGAGAGAATTCCATAGTTAATTCCGTAGTGTCAAGTAGCACGTATTTTGTCTATCCTGAATCTTCCAAGACTCAGTTTCATTGGATATCCCTGAGTCCTACTGTTATGAGAGAGGGAGAAAAACATCTATACCCACTTTTTCCACATCATGCTATTTCTATTTCTAAGGGGGGGGGGAGTATTTCTATTCCACTCACATGGCAAGCTTTATTTTGTTTCTAAATAAGAACTATCTTGAATTTTATGCATGATGTCATATGACAGGAGCTGCAGCAGTGAATAGTGTGGTTTAAGGTCACAATGAATGATTTTCTATCTTTTCCAAGCTCTGGTAAAACACAGCTGATCTTTATCTCCAGAAAGTACAGAGATCTTCCCACCACTATTAGTAATTCAGTGTATTTCTAGTGTATTAAAAATAGTGACAAAAATCGGGGGGCAGTTGCATATTAAATCTCAGCAGCAGCATAGCAAGCACAGGGCCATCGAGATACAGAAGCCAGCATATGAGTCAGAAACAATAACTATCCAAGTCCCTAAATCCTAGAAACTCAGTAGCCAAATCAATGCCTCCAATGAAAACTGATTACTATCAAATACCCTTTTCACCAAAAGAGAGAACTCAGTCAACAGTAGCATTATCATGTGAGAGAGCCCTTGAGGCAAGGTGGTAGAGATACAGATCAGCCACACAAGACTCCCAGTTTACCCTGACCGACAGGTGAGGGCAAAAGCTACAAAAACTCTACCTGGAAAGAGGTTGGATCTTGTTCTTTATAGAAACTTTATATTCCCTGACAATTATGACACAGTGGCTAGAATGGTTTTTAATGTGGTGGAAATCCTATGTCCAAATTCTTGCAAAACTAACTACATTGTTTGAGCGAGTTACCATCACTCAGCCAACCTCTCTTCCAGCGGTATTTTGAGGCTAAAATACCACTTTAAGCTCTATGGAGGGCAGGATACAACTGCATCAAATAATATGTAAGTGCTCCTGGGAAATTTCCCTAGCATTGGGTACAGCTGTTAAGACACTAAGCGGAATTATACAGATTTCTCTCAGGGCTAAAAAGAAATAAATATGGGTCAAACACAGCCCTCATATTCTTTAAAGAGCTCAAGTTTTTCCTATGAGAAAATAACCGACAGAGCTGTGAAATCAGCATGTGTGAATTAAACCTGACTTTCAGAGCTTTCAGGAGCAGTGGGAAACGTTTTGAAATGCTGCTTGTTGAACCCTTAGTTTTTGGGGGTGTAAGGAGCAGTGAAGCACTGTTCGAAACTCCCATTGTTCTAAACGCATTTTGCAACATGGAATTTCATTAATGTGAGCAGTTTCTGAGTTGTGGGCGCAGTACTGCACCTAAAATTTCAGATTAAAACTGCAGAGTGGAAGAAAAGGAGGACCTTTTTCTGGTTCCCCACTTCTAGCTACTTTCTGAAGACTGGAGAAGAGACCCTCTTAAGAACATTAGGAGAGTGGGCAGGGGAAGGACTATACCATGTGAAAAATGAACATAATATTTTAGCTGCAGTTCATTCATTTTCAGCTTTGTATTCTAGTTATATAAAAAGCACACCTAGACATTCCGTTGTTGCACCCATAACCTAGGTTTAAGGTGCCATTTAGCTCCTAGCTTTCACATCTCAGTTTCTAACACTAGCGTGAAGCTGCTTGCATGGGGCTTTCACATAGACCATCACAGAGACAGTTGATGGTGCTGGTCAAGGACAGCAAAAAGCTGGAAAAGTTGGGAAAGCTGAAAAAGAGGAAGGGCTGCTCTGATTGTGTACTGCTTGACCCTTTTGCTCCTCCCTCCATTGCAGCATCTGCCTAGCCAAAAGAAGTCCTTTCCCTGCTTAGCATTTGCATTTTGAAAGCTCCACTGCTTGAAGCTTTCTTCTGTATTCAGAGGGGTTGTGAGCTGACAGACTGCACACATTTCTCTCCCCTGGGGCAGTGCTCTCTCAGCATATCAGTACAGATACCTGGGAGAGCTATATATAAATGCCCTAAGATTCATTGTACTAGTGTATCAAACAGAACAAACACTTTTACAAGTTCTTACCTCTGTTTCTGGACAGCGTAAATGTTCTGATTTACCTGAAATTAAAAACAAAAAAGAGTTATTTTCACCTTTTAAAAATAAGCAATCAATTCCAAAAACAAGATTAGAAAAGATTAGAAAAAAATCTGATGCATCCTCTTTCCCCATGTAGACTACAACTCCCATCATCCATGGGCTATTACATTTCCCTGTTCATTGCATATTGCAGATGACCAGAGGAGGAGATGATCCTTTCACTTTGTACAGGTACTTAGGAAGAGAAGAAGGTGTGTTGCTTCTTTCTTCCTGAGAACCCTGTGCAAAGCAAAAATCTTCAGGGATGGTGGTAAATGGGAATACTATTCCTTTCACTCCATATAGGTGCTACATGGAAGCGAAGAAATGGCACTGGGGTGGAATGTACACACATATTAAAAACATACACATCTACACACATATAAAAACGCTCACCATCGCCATCTAGTATCACATTGTATACTGCTTTTAAAACACACTTAAAATGTTTTATTTGCAGCTGTATAGTTGAGTCTCCAGGACTCTTCCTTTCTCAGATGGCCTGTGTGAATTTATCATTTTACGTTTCTGTAAAGCACTTTCGTCTTCTAATCCACTGCTGGAGGAAGATGGAGCAAGGATCTGGGCCCTGGTTGTACATGCACTGTTCATGGTGAGGCTTAATTGCTACTGGTGCACTGCTATATACATTTTTAAAATCTTAAATCTGCCACTCAGTGAAATCTGAACAAGTATTTGTCTGTTCCATGAAATATATACAATACTCTCCCCCAAGAAATTTTCTCTTTCTTAAGATAAGCATCTTAACAAACAACAAAAGTGTTCCCCTCTGATTGTCTGAGTTTCCCAGTAACTCAGTAAAAAATGTTCTCACAAACTCATTGGGAGAGAAAATAACATTATGAAAATGTCTTCCACTGAATCAGATAATGTGATGCATGTTTATACCTCCTCCATCCTGCACATGCATAACTTAACCTGGCACAAGCAAATAACCATGGAAGTAATAAGCTGTGCACAATTTGATTGACAGGTTAGCCAATATTTCACAACCTTCATTTTATTCTGCTTTTGAATAAATAAATATTAACAAAATTGTTACCAAAAAAATCAGCCTTAAAAAGGGATAGGCAAATTTTGACTGGCCTTAGTAGCCAGCTAAAATACATGCTGGCCCTGGCCTCAGAGGGGCAGAGTCTGGTATCTGATGCCATGCTGAACGTCTGAAGCAAGGATCTCCAAAGCTTAGCACAAAACTAGGAACACCTTCGCCTCACAGCCTCCGCAGCTCCATGCTGAGAAGTACGGCAGATAGTCTATATCATGCTACAAACCAGTCTCTGAAGTGTTGTACCATATGTAAGATCATAAACTCCCACTGTCATCCCCAAGTTGAAGCTAGGTTAGGGTCTCATTGCTTCTTCTTCTGCCTGCAATAGCCACCTCCCCCCTTTTATTGACTATGAAACTTTTAGTCGTATCTCTTCCTGCAATGCATTCAGGGTGCCATGTGTGAATGATTCCTTCTTTTATTCTCACAAAAAAGTACATACTAAAATATTCTAAATGTTATTCTCCTTGGATATTTTTATTAAAAGATTAAAGATTTATACAATCTGAAGATGGACAGTGTATTTGCACAAAACCATGTGAAGTAGGTTAGGCTAAGAAATGATTTGCCAGAAGTCAGAGAGCTTGTCAAGGTTCACAACTCTATCCATGTTGGGATGGGATGCAGTGGTGGATGACAGCAACACCTCATGCGACAAGATTATCAAGGCTGAAAGGAACTGTGAAGGGAGGAGGTTCATATGTTCAGCACCAGCTGCTGGTCTAAAAGGAGGATGACAAATTAGGAGTCACAAAGATCCACTTAGGTGCACTTTGTGCACAAGAAGGGGCTATCTTCATGATGAACAGATTTGCAGACTTCATTAAATCCAGATATTAAAAAAATGTTTTTAAAATACAACTTTAAAGTCTGGCTTGTCAAGTTCTTCAGCGTGCTGCAATTCTAGCCATGCTTTTATTTTCCCCACTTTTCAGGAAGTTATGACAGTATATGTCTAACATTTTGCCCTGCTGACTTTGAAGACTTGACACTTAACTGAGTCATACAAATCTATGACTCAATTTCAACAGAAGTTCTTGTAAAGAATACAGACACTGGCCTCTCCCATTTTCCTTCCTCATTCACACTTTCCAAGGCTCCTCTCTATATACTGAAAACATGCATTAACTGGAACAACACATTCACTGATTTCTTTAACCATGGGGCAATCACTCCCACATCTCCCTTATGAGATAAGCAGGGTATGAGGTGCATTCCTCTTATATTCATTAAACTGCCACCACTTCCCTTTTTATTGTCAAGCAGGGAAGCACTTAAGAGCTGCTGTGATTTATCTGAGGGTAGAGAAATGGTATTAGCAAGCCCTCTGGATTGACCAGGCAATTCTAGCCATGCTTGGAACAATCTCCTTATCCTCCTTTAGACCTTCGACTCCTTTTCTATTCAAAGGTTCCTGTGGCACATTAAATACTAACCAATTTATTATGGCATAAGCTTTCATAGGCCAAAGTCTATTTTACCAAATGCATTTAAAGATGTTTGAAAAGAAATTGTTTCAAAGATATTTTAAAGATGTTTTATCACTTGTGTGTTTGTTGCCCTGGACTCCTCTGGAAAGGCAGGATATAAATTTAATAAATACATGTATAATCCTCAGCTGCCAATTGAGGATTACACTTCATGAATCTGATGAAGTGGGTTTGAATTAACCAAAGTTTGAAACATGAATTTGTTAGATGTTAAGGTGTCACAATACTCTTTGCTGTTTTTAGAAAAGAGGTCATCTACTCCAAATTTGTTACAGTGTTCTAGCTAAAATAAAAATACACAAAATACCAGGATAAAACCTAAGACATAAAACTCAGTTATCATTGCCTCCCCCCCCCCCACAAAGCACCCTGAAGCAATAAAAAACATTCAGACTGTAGCTCCAGAAGCTCTGGCCAGCTTTTAGTTATAATTACGGGCTTTAGATTTAGCTCTGTAATGTTATCTGAGAGTGCTGCAGTCTACCCTTTCAAACTCCATTACATAAAAAGAGACTCAACAATTGAAGTCTAGCACTCACTAAATTTGTAAAACTCTATCTGAACAGTGGTACTTCAGCCTGTGGATGGTAACTCACATGACTGATTGCTCCTTCATACAAATTCTCTGCACACAGAAAACTAGATTTCAGGAGGAAAGGCTGTAGCCTGACATGCTACCTAACTACATGGGATATATATATTATTATATTATATGGGGGAATGTTCAATCCTGTGAGCCTCCCACTGAAACCTAAAGCAGTAAAACCCTGGCACACCTTTGCCACCTCAGTGAGAACTAGGGCTAATATTCAAAGTAATGTTAAATCAACCCAAAAAATCACTTTACATCTCAGTGCTCAACTGGGTGTGTACCTTGTTAAGGAAATAAAATCATATTTCATTATAAACAAAACTCTACAATAGATGGCTTTTTGCTCATTAATGACAGATAAAAAAGCAGGCTAGAAGAAAGAATTAAGAGAAATCAGCCTTGCACATATATTTTCCCTGTAAGAAGACTGCATAATATGTTCTTACTGTGCCCTAATATATTAACAATAAAATAATTATTGTATTTGAACAATGAACTACAGGGTGTATCACATATGAATGACAGCCACTGTTAATCTTAGAACTTTTTCATCAAACGTTCAGTAAAGGAATAAAACCCCTACTATATTAGTAAACCTTAGAACCCTGAAATTTCTTGATTTCTGTCTCTAATGTATTTTCTAAACTTTCAAGAGAATAGTACAGTATTAAGCCCTTGAAAAATCACAACATGTAGCTTCATATACAGGTGCTCCTCTTATCCTAGCAAACAATTTATCTTGAAAGTCGTACTTGGAGAAGGAAAGCATTTTGGCTGCTTTAAGAATCTGATCTCAACTGAAAAAAGTGATCATGTAAAAAAGAATTATGGAAATGCCAGCTTTTGTGTTGACTATAAAAGTACATGTTTCTAGTGCCCAAAACAACAGGCATAAGATCAGCCTTCATAGAAGTAAGTGAAAGGAAAAGTTTTGACTGGTATTTGTTCCACTCTGATTTTAATTGTTATTAAGTTTAGAGCAAGAGTTTTTGAACTTCATCTTAAGCCTAGTAGGTTACATAGCACATTCTGCTTCATTTAGCCAACTAGTCTAGAAGACTTTGTACCTCACTCATGAACCAGTAACAGACATAAGTAGATTCAATAAAAAGGGAAGGACTACACATATGTGCCTCATGACACGCTTGAGGTTTCTCCAGAAAAAAGCACTATCCAGCAGCAAAATACAAGCACATAGTCACTTAATCATATACACCATATTGAATCAGTATTCCAATTCTGTGCCAATCAAGATAGAATCTGAGCCAATAAATGTCACTGAGAAGCCCGTGCCTCCTTACAACAAATCTAGTGACTTAGAGAAGTACCACTCAATGAAAGCTGCAATCCCTTACACATCAGAAGTCTCACTGAAATCTATATTGAGCTTACTGCTGAATAAACAAATATAAGATTGCTCTATAAAAAGCCTTCATTTACTAAATGATAATCGCTCCTAAACACACTGTAATAACTACTGAGTTGTAATTTCATCCACATAATTGTTATGAGTTGTAGATTTTAAAAAAATGTATAAAGGTATCAAATGTTTAATAATATATATAGAAAAACTAGCATGTCAAACAGTCTTTAAAGTGCTAGTTTATTTTCCTGTGTAATTACTTTCTAGCAAACAATAGGTCCATTCTCCATCTTGAGACACTGTAGTTTTGTCCACATTATTTTTAGACTTTAGTATTTAATGCAAGGTTGTTATTTACAACTGGACTAACACTCTAATTCAAGTCACTGGAACAATTCTGCTCTTTGGGTATATTGATATGATTAATAATTATTATTATTTTATTTATACCTCACCCATCTGGC